ATGGTCGTATAGGTTGTTTACTATAACAAACTAATGCTGCAAGGAAGATTCTAGTATGTATATTTTTGCCAGCTTAGGCAAAAAATAAAGTTCTTGGAGTAGAATTTCCGGAAGAGAGGATATACACATTTGCAATCCTGATTCTGTCAATTCATCTTCCAAAAAAGATGACTGGTTGATACATTCGTCTGTGTTACTGAGAGCCCATCTCCCTACCCTCGGTAATGCAAGGTTTTAATGTAGCTTTAAAAAATGTTGCCCACCTGATAGGTCCAACAAGGTATTTCATTGTGGAGTTGATTTGCTGTTTTAAAGTCAGCATTAAGTTTATCAGCCATTTTCATTTCTTTTCTATGAAATATCCTATACCTTATTAATGTGTGAAACAAAGGAAATCGTGTCTTTATCATATATGCTGCAAATGTTTTCCCTCATTTTGTCATTTGCCTTGTGCCTTTTTTTCCCCATACAAAATGTTTAAGTTTTGAACTAGTCAAGTTTAAAGTGGATTTCTTACAAGATCAAAAGTATCAACATTTCGTTTTATGATTTCTGGTTTTTTTTTTTTCCCCAAAGTTGGAAAGATCTCCACTTCATGTTCATTGTAAAAGTCATTCATGCCCTTGGGGCGCCTGGGTGGCTCCGTCGGTTAAGCGTCTGCTTAACCGTCTCAGGGTCCTGGGATCAAGCCCCGCAGGGAGGCTGCTTCTCCCTCTCCCTCTGCCTGGGCTTCCCCTGCTTGTGCTCTCTCTCTCTCTCCCTGTCAAATAAAGTAAGTATCTTTAAAAGTCATTCATGCCTTCTACTAGCACTTTTATGGTTTCAACATTTACCTTCAGGTAATTGTACCATCTGGAATATAGATTAGAAAGTAAGGACAATATCTAGTTTTATTTTTTAGACTAACTGGTTTTCCCAGCATCAGTTATTAAAGAATCCATTTCTCTCCAGTGATCTGAAATGCCTTTTTCTTAGATGTGCTATGTTCCCTCTCTTTTGCATACTGTTTATGAACTCTGCTTTGTTTCATCGACCAACAACTCCTCTCTGAGGAAGGGCAGCTTTGAAGTACAGAGAGGAGAAAGGTCTGGATCTTTGGAGCTCATAGCCAGGGAAGAAGCACAGCTGTGGGGCGCAAGGGGTGCTGTCTGAGCAGCTTGGGAGGGAGAGCGGGAGGAGGGTGAGGATTTGGGGAGTACTGAGTACGCAGTAAAGAAATCGATGTCTAAAGTTACATAATGATATTTTTAAAAGCAATTGCACTGCTTCCCAAAGTAACTGAAATCATGAGCAATTGTCCAGATCCTCAGAGGACCTGCTTTTACGAACAAAAGATAAGTTTGCTAATTAGCTAGCCAAACATTTCTAAAGTTCTTGCAATCATTTTGACCTCTGATAGGTATCTATTTTCTGCTACTATCTCCCATCTGACTCTTGAATTCATACTGGTTTTTATCAGAATCTGAATCTGTGCATGTTCCAAACAAGGGGGGGGGGGCAAAATAATAAGATGATCCTACCCCTTTCTAAAGATTAATGCCATTCTTACTATGAGCAGGCACCAGCCGTGGTCTCTGGTAAAGTTCGCCCTGTTGTCCTCACTGCAGCACCATGAGGAGGCCACCACTGCCCATGCTTTACCGAGAAAATAATTCTTGCCCAAAGTCACACTGTCGTGAGCTGCAGAGCTAGAAGTCAGCACAGCGCCATCTGATGCAGAAGGGTGGCCCTGCCGGGAGGCCACATGACCCTTCCCGTGTGATCTATAGCGTAGAGGGGCATGTGACACAGAGAGATTTTTAAAAAATTGGGGTTCCCAGGGAAGAGGAAATGGAAAGAAGACTAGGAAAGCAACAACCAGCCCCATCTTCATTCAGAACTAGCGAGAGGACGTTGCCTCGTTTATGCGGGTAGAGAATGACTTAGGAAACCCTGAGCTGTCGGTCCTTTTCCCGAAGTGGTGTGAGTTGCTGCCCCACTGGCCTGCCCTCAGCCTCAGACTCCTCCTGCCATGTCTCAAGGGAATGCCCTTCTTTCTGGAAGCCTCTCAGCAGAGATCTGATTTGACGTCCTCGGCTTCCCGGCCACCCGAACCTTGCAGATGGCCCTGTCCGTGAACTGGGGCGTTATTTTACCTGGACATGGAATCAGCAGGTGCAAAAAGAAAATCCTATCAGCCTGTAACCCTGTGGCCTCCAACTGGAAATTGCTGCAGGTTCCTTCTGCCATTGCTCCTTGCTGCTACATTTCCACTCACTGCCCCTCCTGAGGTTTACACCCTACTTCCACTGACCTAGGCCGGCTTGGGGGGGTTCACCAGATTAAGCCCGATTAGGAGTGTCAGGTGACAGAAAAGGGCCCCAAGTACCCCAGAAACAATCCTGGTTTCATGTTCCAAACCTTCCTTCTCCCAAGTATTCATACAGGGTGACCACATACAGTTGTGCAGGTTGTATACTGCACAACATTACTGAGCATATAAATCACAATGGCCCCTGATTCGTACTCTCCGTGTTTCCTCAACTACAAGGACACTGGCATCAATTTACAGCTCATCCTCAGAAGCTGGTACACATACACCCCAATCCTCTCAGATGGTGACTCCCAACAAAACTGAAGCAAAGGAACTCAAAAGGAAAGGGCAATATTCTGCCTTTGATAACTGGGAAGATGAACGCCTTCTCCCGCCCTCCACTCTCCCCCACCACCCCAGTATTCATACGTAGATGCATAAAACCTTTGAGAGATTCTGCCAAGAAATGCATAGTGCGGGCTGTTTCTAGAAGAGTGACCACATGTCTGATTGGCCCAGGACAGTCACGAGTTTATGACTCTCATACTGGTGGTCCCAACAGTCCAGCACCTGTCCCAGACAAACATGTCCTGGTTTGGATAGTAAGTTATAGACACCTTACTGAAAAGCCACAAATGGGCCAGTCCAGAGAGACTGGGGAAGGGCGGCATCAGCTTATTGACCAATAACACAAATACAGAGAGTCATTTAATTGAGCCGCCACTATGTATATATATATACACCTATGTCAATATGCCAGTGTTATATGCATGTATGTGTGTGTATGTTTTTATATATTTATATATGTAGCCGCTATCTATGAGTGTTAGACACCCCTCAACCTGCCGGCCTTTGTACTAACAGCCCTATGGGCTCTGGATCTATCTGTATATACACTTTAAAACCAAGATTTTATTCTGACACTTCCAATTCCAATCCAATGTAATAAGGGTCACACTAGCCTTTCCCCTTTCCTTACCTGTAGCTTTTTTCTTCAGCAGAGAGAAATCTGCCTCATTACCTACATCATATCTGCTTATCTGTTCAACCCTCATGTACACATACATAGTTTCAGAACCTCTAGCTCTATCCTTATGAGAAACAAATTTACTAACTACGGTACAGTGATTATGCGCGGTGTTTTGTCTTAACCTGGGCATTCAGTCAAAACAGTTTTCCAAAGAAATTGAGGCTAGTTCTGTATTCTCTCCTGTGGGCTAAGTTATTCTTTTGTAATACATTCAGGTGTTTTGTTATCTTTCGTATTCCATTTGGGCTTCTCCCCATATCCTGGTTAATTTCTTTAAATTACATATGTAAAATCCATCCTTCGCGGTGTAGAATTCTGTGCGTTTGCTCTTGTAATTGGACAAACAGAATCACGTGTTCACTCCCCCAAGGCATGATACGGGACAGTTCCATCGCCCCCAAATTCCCTCCTGCAGCTCCATTGTAGTCAACCCCTTCGCCAGACCCTACCCAGGTACGTAACCCTGATCTGTTTTCTGTCCCTTTGATTTTGCCTGTTCCATGAACGGAATTTTACCGTATGTACCCTTTTGAGCCTGTCTTCTTTCACCAAGCAAGATGCATTTAGTTCATCCATGCTGTTGTGTAAATCAGTGGTTTACTGATAGCACTCTGCTGTATGCATGTATGACAGATTGTCGCTCACTGTGAGTGACATGTAGCTGTTTCTAGTTTAGGGTGAGTATGAATACATATGCTATAAACATTCTCACACGGACTTTTTTGAAAACAAATTTTTATTTCAGCGGGGAGATACCTAGGAGCAGATTGCAGGGCTGCATGGTAAGGACTTCTTAGCTTCTCTAACTTTGTACGAAAACCGATAGACTGTCTGCTGAAGTGCACAGTACCATTTTGCATTCCCACCGGCAATTCATGCCAGGTCAGTTGTACTGGGCTCTTCAGCACACTTATTGTCAGTATCCTTTATTTTCGCCATTCTAATGGGCGTGGAGCAGTATCTCATTGTAAATTTAATTTGCATTTCCTTAATGACTAATGACTTTGAGTGTGTTTTCATGAGCTTATTGGCCATCCATAGATCTTCTCTGGTGAAGTGTCTGTTTGAACCTACTGATTTTTTTTTTAATTATTCTTTTCTTATTGTTGGTTTTTGAGAGTTCTTTGTATATTCCGGACACAGATCCTCTGTCAGAGATGTGATTTGCAGATATTTTCTCCCAGTCTGTGGCTTGTCTTTTCATTCTCTTAACAGTGTCTTTGGGAGAGTCAATATTTTTAATTTTAACAAAATCCAGTTTATCATTTTTTAATTAGTACTCTTTGCCTAACCTAAGCTTACAAAGATTTCTTCCCTGTTTTCCCATAGAAATTTTACAGTTTTACATTTTACCTTTTGGCCTATACTATATTTTTGGTTAATTTTTGTATAAGGTGTGAGTTATGGGTCAAGGTCCTTTTTTTATATTTATTTATTTATCTATCTATTTATTTATTTTGGTAGAGGGACATGCAATTGTTCCAAAACCATTTGTTGAAAAGATTGTCCTCTCTCCATCGAATTGCTTTTGGACTTTTATCAAAAATCAGTTGGCTGGGGCGCCTGGGTGGCTCAGTCGGTTCAGCGACTGCCTTCGGCTCAGGTCATGATCCTGGAGTCCCAGGATCGAGTCCCGCATCGGGCTCCCTGCTTGGCGGGGAGTCTGCTTCTCCCTCTGACCCTCTTCCCTCTCGTGCTCTCTATCTCTCATTCTCTGTCTCTCAAATAAATAAATAAAATCCTTTAAAAAAATCAGTCGGCTGCATTGGTGTTTCTGGGCTTTCAGTTCTGTCTCAGTGATCTTTGTGGCTCTCATCCCACCAATACCACATTATCTTAGTTTCTGCACCTTTATCATGGTTCTTGAAATCATGTTAACAACAGTCCTCCCAACACATTCTTCTTTTCTGAAAAACAATTCTGGCTCTTCTAGCTCCTTTGTCTTTCCGTATAAATTTTAAGAATATGCTTGTAGGGGAAGAAAAAAAGCCTATTGATATTTTGATTGAGATTGTTGAATTTAGAGATGACCTTGGGGAGAATTAACCTCTTAAACTGAGATTTGCCGAGTTCACGTATCAAACACAGTATAACCCCCCGGTTACACAGATAATTGAAGGATAAATGAGAAAATAGGAGATTCTGAGCAGCCCAAGTATTAGTACCTAGAAGAAGCAGCTACCCCTCCCAGGGCTGGGGGGGAAGGGGGAGGTAAGGTTACTGAGGTTTAGGAGCTCAGAGGAAGGGGCCCTGCACAGCTGATGGCCAGCTAGATGAAGGGGGCAACTAATGCTCAGATGATAGGGTGGGAGGGGGACAGACATGCCTGACTGGTGCTGTAGCCCTGAGGGGACTCAGCAGGCTTCCATTGTCAAAAGAACCCAGAGGCTGGACCCAGAACTCTCACCAGGTGCTGGAGCCATGCTAACAGGAACTGGAAGCCCAGGTTCCAGCTCCCAGTCTCTCTCTAGTGCCTTCCGCCAGCCAGTAAGCGTGTCTGAGAAATGTGGTTTGCAGAGTGTCAGCCTCAGCACCTGCAGCAGGGTATAGAGACAGAGGCTTGGGGCTGAGAGCCGAGTCATCAATCACAGCACACTCAGTTACACTGGAAACCACTACTGGAAGCTGTTCTTCCATACATCGGAGCGTGTCTAGCACAGTACCGCGGACATGATACAGGTTCAAAATTTGTTGAATCTGAGCTATTTAAAGTACTGTTAATTCAGGAGTGAAAGAGGTGATGTTACTACAGACCTCAGAGACATTAAAAAGACAGTAAGGGAATATTATGAACAATTTTGTGCCCATAAATTCAACAACTTGGATGAAATGGACCATTTCCTTGAAATACATGACCTACCAAAACTTACTCTAGAAGAAATAGATAATCTGAATAGTACTCTGTCAAAAAGATTAAATTCATAGTCTTAAACCTTCCAACCAACAGAAAACTGTAGGCACAGATGATTTGGTTTGAGTGGGGAATCCTACCAAATAGTTCATGAAGATGTCATACCAATTCATAATCTCTTTCAGAAAACAGAAGAGGAGCACCCATTTCCCGACTCATTTTATGAGGCCAGCGTTACTCCAATGCCAAAACCAGACACAGACTTTGCAAGAAACAAAAACCGCAGATCAATATCCCTCACGGACATAAACAATCCTCAACAGAATGTTAGCAAATTGAACCCAGAAATATGTAAAAGGGATACTACATCACAATCGAGTGTGGTTTACCTCAGGAATACAAGGCAGGTTCAATTAGGAAAGATCAATCAATGTAATTCACTAAAGAGGAAAAATCTCATAATTATCTCAATAAAAGCAAAAAATGTTTTTGAGAAAATCCAACACTAACTCATGCTAACAACTCTCAGCAAGCCAGGAGTAGAAGGAAAAGCCTCCTTAACCTGATAAAGAGTATCTGCAAAACCCTGGCCTAACCATGGACTGGCATCTCTTCCCTATGGATCCTTCTTGCATCGGGAGGACACGCTGGCCCCTCTGAAAAGTCTTTTCTTATTGAGAATATATTACCAAAAAGCTAAAAAGGAACTATATCTCATTCATTCTAAGATGCCCATTTTTTCACATTTTCACGTTTCTGAATTCTGGATACATGTTACAGTTAATGGCATCTTACAATTATAAAAAGGTAGAAAGGTTTTTGTTTTTTTTCCTCCTCTCTCTCTCTTAGTGCTATATTAAATAAGGGTGCATCCTTCAATGACATCTTAGAGTTTATGGAGTCGATTCTTTTCCAAAGGTTAGTTTTCTAGAGTTCTAGCGAGCATTTGTGGCAGAGACAGGTAACTACCCAGCAACACCTGTTCCCTTCGTCCATGGTCATAAATTGTAACCTGGCCATAAGACCGCCTTGCTAGTGACCTCACTTCCAGGGCTCCCTTGCAGTGGGTGTGGTTCTATGACTAAGTTTGGGCCAAGGGGATGGGAGTGGATGTGACGTATACAACTTTGGGATCATGGATAACCAAAAACACAAGCCAACTGACTTAAAGTTTCTGTCTTTCCCCTTGATCAAGCCTGATTCCCACCTTTGGCCTTAAAAGGCATTAACAATGCCCCAGGGGGAGGGGGTGAGGGTGTACCGGTATGGAGGAACCTGGATCCCAGAATGACCAGGAGAAGAAAGCCACCTGCCAACGTAAACAGCTCACCTTGGGACTGACATATGGGAGAGAAATCACCTTCTATTTTTTTTGATCTATTGTATTTGAGAGCCAAGCTCTCTCTCTGTCTCTGTCTTTCTCTCTAACAGATTAGCCTTTATCCCTAAAGTATTTCCCTCTAGCTACGGATTGGCTCATCTTTGCCAGCCCCCCTTCCTCAACACTTTTCTGTCCAACTTTCCGATGACTCTTTGCAACAGCTACGAAGTTTCTGCCCCTGTAGTAGGATATTTTTATCCGGCATTTTGATGTTCTGAGCAGGTTGACATGTTTGTCTGAATTGATTTGCTTACTAATTTTACTATTTCCCTTTTATTCCACTTGGTAATGTAACCATTGTCAACGATGACTACGTTTTGGGGATAATTATCCTTCCATGAATAACCACTTCAAAATCTGTATGCCACAAGTAAGAGGGCTTCGTCAAAATGAAAACCCACGCTGGGGGCGCCTGGGTGGCTCAGTCGGTTAAGCCTCAGACTCTTGATTTTGGCTCAGGTCATGATCTCAGGGTCGTGAGATCGAGCCCGGCTCTGAGCCCTGCCTCTGCCCACCCCCCTCTGGTGCACACTCTCTCCCTCTAAAAAAAAGACCAAAAAAACGAAAACCTATATTGGCACACTAAAACCGCGGGAGGGAAAAGAGGGAAGGAAGAAAGAAGGAGGGGGGAGGGAAGGCAGGCAGCCTAAGAACAGCAAGTTTTCCAAAGGGGCCAGTGGCCGTGGGAAAAGGTCCCTCATCTTCCTCGTGTACTTCTCTGTTTCTGGTCCTGGAAAATCATCCCAGTGGTTCCCTGGTTTGTTTTCCACATGACTAAACCCCACGGGCCTCACTGAATCATACCCAGGCCGCCTGACTGCTTCTCGCCAGTTCTTCCCGTGCCCGGAGCCCGGTCAGGGCGCAGACCCGGGCACACCGCCCATCCCCTCACCTGCCTTCGCCCGCAGCCTCGCCGGGGAGGCCTCTCCCTGGTGGCCTAGCCAAGCGTGGGGCCGGCCTGGGGTCTCTGCTCGCTCACAACATGGAATGGTCCGTCGGACTCCTGGCCTGCCTAGTGGGCCTCCTCCCGATGGGTGAGTCTCCCACTGTCCTCTCTGGCCCATGCTCAGAACAGAATAGATGCTCACACGACCTCAGGTACAGTCTTCTCGCCCGGCGCCAGGGGCAACCGGGTTCACCCAGAGCCTCCAGGCCTGTGGAGGAGGAAAGAGGGAAGCCGCGGTGACAGAAGTCACAAGTTCAAACCCGGGTTTTGCCTTGGGTTTCCGGGGACTTTGGGCAATCCTCTGACTTCTTTGCGCCTCCGTCGCCCCACCTGTAGAAAGGCCACCTGCTCACCCGCTGCTGTGAGGATCCAAGGAAGATAACGGGCAAGCTCCGGGGAGGACAGTCCAGGCTCTGAGGGACTTCAGGTGTTGCCGTCATCCGAGTGCTTTATGTCTTGATGGGCACAGCCCAGAAGGGAGGGGAGGAGGCTCGCGGTTGTTTGGGGTAAGAGTGGGGCTGATTTCCCATGGGGAATGGGGCAAGTAAGAGAGGGCACCCTGAGCACCCAGCGGGACTCCCGAGGGGTGAATGGGAACTCTTTGCAGCAGCTTAAGTAACAATATCATTGGTCACTCAGCTCAGTGACTTGGTGTTGCTGGGAACGGTGTTTTGGTTACGGACCATCTGCATGAGAATTTTGGTGGGGAGAGGGGCATTCATCTAAAGGCAGATCCTTTGGTTCTATCAAGCGGCAGGGCTCAGGAGTCAGCATGTTCAACCATCTCCTCAGGTCATTTTTTTTTTTTTTAAGATTTATTTATTTATTTTAGGGGGGGTGAGGACAGAGAAACTCAAGCAGCCTCTGTGCTGAGTGCACTCAATCTCATGACCCTGAGATCAGATCTGAGCTGAAACCAAAAGTGGGACACCTAACTGACCGCACCACCCAGGCACCCTCTCTTGGGTCAGTCTGATGCACGAGGTAGTTGAAGGCAATGGGGAAAACTGACAAAGGCAATCCTCTGAGCCCTGGTCCCTCCCAAGACTCTGCCCCTGGACTCGGTATTGGTGCCTCCACGGGCAGGGCCATGGGCCATCACGTGCCGCACGGTGACATCACTGACATCATGGTGTTCTGAGTTAGTCAACAGCCCTTGTCTGGGGTCCTGTCTCCATGACTGGACTATCAACTCCCACCCTTAGCTCCTCTTCTTTCCTCTTGAACATTCAACAGAGGCAGCGTCCAGTTCAGGTCTGGTTTGGATAATTCTAGCAACCACCTACAGATAGCTCTTACAAGGGCTGGGCCCTTTAATTAGAACCTGATATAAGCCTCGAAACCATCTGAAAAAGGAACTACTCTATTCCCTTGTCACGGATGAGGTGCAGAGGGGCCCAGTGAGTGGTGTGGGTGGATGTGCGGCTCTCGACTGGGCCCCCACGGGCCCCCACCACATGCTGCCCCTTGTCCCACCACGCAGCCCAGTGGTGGGGGCAAAGCGGGCGGGGGCTGGAGGAGGTGACCCCACCCAGACCCGGGGCTGATAAGAGAGGGGGTCAGACGTGAGTGTTGACGTCACACACACCTTTGAATCCTGGCTCTTCTATTTACTAGCTGTGTGGCCCTGGGCAGGTTGCCTAACTTCTCGGAATGTCGGTAAAGTGGGGACCCTGGCTCCTCGTGGGGTGTCGTGAAGGATAATTAGATCTTGGATAAAAGCCCGCCAGCACCAGCATCACTGGTGCTCAGTGATTGTGCCATAAATGGCAGGGAAATCTTGCTGAAGTCACATAACCTCGAGAGAGGCGAGGTTGGGGTGGGAGGTGGTTTGGGTTTCTTTTTCTCCTGTCGAGGGTCAGCTGCTATGAATCAGTCAAAGACAAAAAGACTTAGAGGAAGCCTGAGCAGTCACGTGTCCAAGAACAAAACCCAAACCACACAACCGCTCCAGCTGTGGGTCGAGACGAGATTTCCCCAGGGAGGCTGAGGCATCTTGGGGAGGAAGACCCTTTTTTCTCATACTGGCAACTGCTTCACGGCTACAGCCGAGAGGCCTGTGAACTAGGGTGAGGGGGCCCCGCTTTCTGAAACCCTTCTGGAGACGTTCGCCTATGAGCCCCTCCATGAGGCAGCGGGCCTGGACAGGAGGACCAGGCTGGGTTTGGCTGTAATGCAGGAGCCCCGGGGCTTCCTGAGCAGGGTGCCCGCAGTCCCAGTCTCATCCCCAACCGCATCTCTGAGCAGAGGGCCAGGGCGGGCCCTTGGCAAAAGCAAAGTGGGAGGAATTCGTCCAGGAAACCCCCTTCTACCTCCTGTGCCCTTCTCCTTCATACTGACGCCACCTACGCCCAGCACCCGGTGCCCTGGGGCAGCCCTGAATCTCCCAGGGGCTCACGCACACTCTCCCTTGTCTTTCCCCTCTGGGCTCCCCACAAATCTGCTTCTAGAAAGCTGGAGATGCCAGGGAACGTGCAGGCGGGAAGAAAAATGGTCTGGGAGCTCTGACCGCTTGGGTGACCTTGGACAAGACTGCAGTTGGTCCACAAACCTGAGAAGCAGGTGGAGGGATCACAGTCACCCTCAAAGACTTCTGTGTCAGGCCTGGACAAGCAGCTCGCTCACTCCTCACCACAGCTCTACAGAGCAAGGACCCTTGTCCCTGTTTTAAGGAGGCCTATGGAAGTCAGGGGACTTTTCTGGGCTGTCACAGCCTGGACTGAACTTCTGGAGTCTCCCGAGGGCAAACCCCACGTTTTACACCACCTACGTGCAGTGGTGGCGAGCCCGGAGCACAGCTTGGTGCTCAGAGGAATTTACTAGCTCGGAACCACGGCTGACAGACAAACCAAAAGGCAAGACGAATCACAGCAGTCGCCCTAGCTGGTGGGGGTGCAGGGAAAGGCTGGGAGGGGATGGGCTGGTCACGGGTCCAGAAGGAAGTGGGAGAGTTTCGTGAGCCAGGATGCTGCTTCTGCTCCCGGCGGCTACTGTGGCTGGTAGCTTGGGCTGAGAAGTCCTAGCTGGGGTGGAGGACTGTTGGGGAGCAGGGCCCTGAGAAGGCTGGGGGGAGCACGGACAGAGATGAGCTAAATGGGCGCTGTGGAGAGAGCGCCCTGTGGCCAACACTGGCCCCAGACCACGGTCAGCTGTGACTGCCCACATGACCTAAGATGCCAACGTGAGCTAGAAAAGGTGCAATGTCAGGGTACCACATCTTCACCCCTGCTGCATCACCTCGAGATGTATGCCCAGAGCACTTCCCCGCCACTGGTCAGCGCCCCCACCCTGCTCCCTCACAGTCACACTCCCTTTGCCAGGCTGGTGAGAGCAGGGTCTAACATGCATTGGGCATGTGCAGGGCAAGCTACCCGTGTGACTTCATTCAATGCTCAAGCCCATGAGGAAGGTAAGGTGCCTCATTTGGCAGCAGAGGAGCTCGAGACCTGGGACATTAAGTAACCTGCCCAAAGAGCCCCCAGGAAGTGAAGGAGCCTAGAACAGTGCCAGGCTCAGACCGGGTGCTCATAAAAGGCAGGGAAAGAATGACCACAGGGGAGATTATCCCCCAGGTCCAGCTGTGCCAAAGCTGGGAGGCGTGCCAGTAGGCCTTGTGGCCCAGCATTGAGGGCTGGTGTTTTGGACAGCAAGAAGAGTCTGGGTCTCCTGTTGACCCAGAGTTTAAGAGTCCCGAGGCAGGGAGATCAGAGACTCTACAATAAGGGGCCAGGGTTTCAGTTCAGGATGATTCCTTCCCTTGTGCTAAAGACATGCAAGAGGTGCCGGAGGAAACGGCACATGTCACAAGATGCTGGGACCTTGGGTTCCTGCCAAAGCACATGTGTCTGCTCCCCAGGCAATCCCTGCTGGGACTTCCCACCCTCACCTCGAGTCCCTGGGTGGATGCGTCCAAGGTCTCCGTGTTAAGAGGGAGTCCAGGTGCTCGCCTCTTGAAACACCATCCCGCAGGTAAACAGGAAACACAAATCTCCCCCTAACAGGAGCCAAGATCTTAACACTGGCTGAAAGGGCCCCTGTGTGCCCTCTCGGCTCTGAAAGCCTCCAGGGCGAGGGAGGGGCGGGGGGGGCGGGGATGTTTCCAAACTAGGCTGTCGTCCAGGGGCAACACAGCCCAGGGGACAAAGTAGGAACAGGAACCATGGAGCAGGGAAGCCTCAGCCCTGCTTCTGGTCAGTCAGATGACCTTGGAACAGTCGCGTGGCCTCTCTGAGCCTCGGCCCTCCCTTCTTCAAAAGGGGCTATTGCCGGTCCCTCTTGGGGCTGTCGTGCACATGAAATGACATGACGACCGTCTCCCAGTGAGCACCCAAAGCACTGCGTACTCTGGGCCCATGATCTGGGCATGCCCTGCAATCCCTTCACTGACGTCCTTGCCTCTGTGGTTTTGCCCAGCTGCTGCCTTTGCTTAGAACACCTGCAGTCTACAGCAAGGCTTAGCAAATCCCAATCCTTTGTTGAGGCTCCGCCGAAACAACACATCCTCTCTCCCGGGCTCTCCAAGGATTCCCTACTTAATATTTGCACACCTCTTCCCCCAGCCCACACCACCCTCCCCTGCCAGCCTGGTCACCCTCCCTTCTGCCCTGTTACAGCAATTCTTCATCAATTACTACATGGCAAGTCCCTCGCGAGGCACTAACAACACAAATACGACCACATATCCCTGGTCCCTGCCCTCCTGATCTTCTGGGTGCCTGGACAAGACACACAGTTGAATAGGCCATGCCCATATGGAGGAAGAACCTCTGCAGGCCCTGGGGCACAGGGTAAGGATGCCAGACCCAGGCTTGGGGTTTAGGGAAGGCTTCCCTCTGTAGGACAACTCAGCAGAGGCCTGGGGGTGACTGGGAGGGAGTTGGTGAGTGAAATGGGCCAGGAATCTTGTTCAGACAAAAGAAACAATGTTGGTGTCCCTCATTAGAGGACCTGGCAGGCTGCGGTGTAATTATGTGTTCACAGATCTATCTCCCTTCCTGAGTGGTGAGCTCCAGCAGGCTGATAAGGTATCCTATTGATCTTTGTAACCCTGGCTTGTATCCAAGTGCCTGGCTTAGAGTGGGAATGTGTCTGATAAATGTTCGCCAGTCGATGAGTGCACAATAGCAAAAACTGCCCGGAGTAATCAGTACCTGGTTCCGTGACGCCTATAAGATGCAGAAGGTCAGAGGAGGCTGAGGTTACAGAGGGTGGGAAGTGTAGAGAAACCGAGGCAGAGGCTGAGCCTCAGGAGTGGGGAAACAATTTCTGCACCTGGGAGTACTGAGTAAACCAGCAAAACCTTCAGAAAGGTTTCTCAAATTTGAAACCAGGCCCTTTATTGACAACTGAACAAACAAGCTCGTAACTAGAGATAAATGCCATGTGCTCACCTGGGTTCAAAAGTATAATTCCACTTGTCCAAAAGAAACAAGATTTGGCTCACAAGCACATTGCATGAAAAAAGAACGTGTAGTTTTTACTTGATGGCAAGCTCAGCATAAGCCCAAAGTGTGGTTTTATACGAGGCAGAGCTCACACAACCCAATTCGTACCCCATGCTGCTGGTGCAGCACACCCCTGCAACACACCCCTGCAGCACATTCCTGCAGCACACCCCTACAGCACATTCCTGCAGCACACCCCTGCAGCACATTCCTGCAGTACACTCCTGCAGCACACCCCTGCAGCACATTCCTGCAGCACACCCCTGCAGCACACACCTGCTGCACACAACTGCACATCCCTGCAGCACACACCTGCTGCACACCCCTGCAACACACCCCTGCAGCACACCCCTGCTGCACACAACTGCACACCCCTGCAGCACACACCTGCAGCACATTCCTGCAGCACACCCCTGCTGCACACCCCTACTGCACACCC